CAGTTTTTTGATTGGTTACCCCCAAAAAACGCAAGGCATTATGGGGATGTGAAAGTCGAGAATACACAACCAAAGAGCTTGGTTGGGTTCCCTGTGATCATTTAATCCTTTTGTTCATAGCCAGTACCATTCATACCTTTGATTTCAAGAATCCCTTTGAAAGATAAGGGTCTGTCTTTTTCTCTGGATGATCTGACAGTTCAAACCAATCATTTTCTTGATTTTGGGAATAAATGGATTTATAATATTTGTGGTCATCTTTCTAAGTATAAGGATAAAAAGGAGGCAATTTTACTTTTAATAAAGCATGACAAATTTAACAAATCGCTCACTGATTTCTATTGACTGTTGCCTCGTTGATCATAGATGACATCTTAAAATGTCCAACACTCAAGTGGAATCACGAGTTTTTAACTTTCAAGATGTCATCTATAATTAATAAGACCATAGTAAGAAAAAGCTTAAAAGAAAAATGGTTTCAAACACATGCAGACTCTGTGCATGAGTGATTCATTATGTGTCTGTCCTCTTATTGATCATAGCTCTAAGCTATCAGATTGTATTATTACATTCCGTGTCAAATCAGATTTACTAGCTGCTTGGGTAATAAGGCATTTACTGCAGCAGTAAGGTGACAGCCATGGCTACCAAGAGCCAAGTTAATGTATCAGACTAGGTTTTCATTATTTTAAAGAATACATGTAGGAGAAGATCATATTAATATAGCTGGACAGTCCTGGGCCGGGTTGTTCAAAGCTGGATTAGCGCTAATCCAAGATTCACTATAGGTCTTATTAAGAGTTAACCCAGGATTAGCACTAATAAATTGGGCTTTGAACAACTGGGCCCTGGCAGGGTTTTTATCAAGCCTTAAAATAATAGGATTCAAGATCATGGTAGCTGAAGCCAGTGTTATTTAATTGCTATGTGAGTTACCAGGTAAAGTTAAGATATTATAAAGAAAAATGTTAAGTTATATTTACCGTAGCATTTTTTAATGGGTCAGCATCCCTTCTGTGACGTATGCGTAGGTGAGACTCATCCAACCTATCTATTGGTAATTTTCCATTTAATAGACGTGCATCTTGATACTGAAGAAACTGATCTATTTGTATACAGAGAAGGCATTCCAAGCATTAGGGATTTTATTTTCTATCAAGGAATGGTAGTTGATGGTCAGGGATTTATACAGAAAAAAAAGAAAAACCTTTTTTTTTTATTTTATTCAAATTTGAAAAATGAAAATATTTTATTTTATTTTATATTATTCTATAAACTTTGCCAAGGAAATGAAAATGGACCAACTTGCAATGCCGATTTTTTGCGCAACTGTTGCACAAAAAATCCTTGTCATGTAGCATAGCACCAAGGACGATTCTTCTTGCAATTTTTCACTCTGCAACACRTTGCAAGTTTTTGATCTGGCTTCAAAAACTTGCAACACAAGATGACGAATTTTCAGCAAATTGATGCATGTAACATGTCCATCGCCGATTTGACACGCAACAAAATGGTGCCAACTATAGAAGAAGTAAGTTTAAAGAGTACAGCAACTGCAATAATTGTCTAAACCTACTGAACTGAACAGACAAGATAAAGCTTTTGTAGTTGATGAAAAATGATAAAAGCAAGAAAAGAAGAAAAAAGATAGATGTGAGTGAGTTGGCAGCGCGTGGACTGAATACTAAAGTAAATGCTGCGCGAAAAGTTGTTCCGGTGTAACATGTCGAAACAAATCGACACACAAATGGCTCAATAGCGTTGCATGAAAAATCGGTGTTGCAAGTTGTTCCATGTAACACCAACTTTTATCTACTGATCAAAATGAAACATTTTTCCTGGCAACGGGTAATAGGTAACTTCCTTCTTTGGTGCTGAATGGCTGGTCTCACTTTCAATTTGGGTTGCAACTTCAATAACAACAGGTGTTGGTATTGATCAACRTTGTGCACAGCTATCAATATTATTTTAATCTTTCCTTTTCCTCTTTTCTGTCCCTCCCTTCTCTCTCTATTCTAGTTTTTCCCTCTGCTCCTCCCTCCCTTTTTTAGCTGTTTCTCCATCCTCTCTCTCCCCTGATCCATTCCTCTCTACTACCCGATTTGGATAGTTAAGGTATGGACGGACATAAGGTGCAACATTGCACGCAACAGGACTGTTGCAACATGTGTCTACCCCTGAAACTTGTTGCCTACAACGTTGCATGCAACAAATCTGAAGTTGAATCACGCTCTACTCTTACAACATCGTGAGCAATGAATTTCATCGTGTGAACATGGTCGCAACATTGCATGCAGCATCTTGAAATTTCCAGCCAATCAGCTTGCACCAAATTTATAACTGCTGACCAAATAATTATCTTAACATAGAAGGCTGACAAAAGCACAGGGAACCCSGCTATATTTTTTTGCTTCTCTTAGAAAAGTGACTTTGCTCTTTGTGGGTTTCCTGTTTTGTGATCGGTTTCCTATTACATAAGCTGTAATCAGATCTGTGCTGTGATCAGATCGGCGCTGTAAACTGATAGCCGATTAAATTCAAATCAATAACCGTTGGTGTTTTGTTTATTATGGGTTGCCTGTGTATTGCATAAATAATTGTCCAATATACTGTATTGAATGTGTGTTGTGGTTTATTGTCTGCACCAAAACGCTAACGAAAGTTTGAAAATGTTAATGAACCCACGCAAACATCTTCATGATTGTCAAATTCAATGCTAAATTTCTTAATGAACGTTCCATCGCACTATTGAGACTCCGTTCGCCTTATTGYAYGCCTGTTCGCTCTAATGACAATGCTTCTTCGCTTCAATGAATATTCCTTTGCGGTTAATGAACAGCAAAAGGTGTAATTAATGCTATAATTATACAGCTTCTCATTAATCCCATATAGGTAACTGTCCAATTATTTTCTTAATTGGACAGGTCTTGTTGATATGGGATTAATTAGGCAGCTATATAATTAATAGGTAATGGGATTTCATGCTCCCCAATCAAGAAATAATTAGACTCGAAAAATTCCTTTGACTTTCAAATTGGACTCGGCCTACAGCCTCATCCAATTTTGTCAGCATGGAGTCCTATTACATATACTAATTGTACTCCTCTTGACCAATCAGAGTCGAGTAATTTTGTTGAGTGTACTATAACATGCATATATAGTAATAATTTACCTACTTTATGAGCCTGATATTAGGGACTTTAAATGCACTGTAATCCACGCAAAAAATTTAATATGTTGTTTCCTATTTTGGTTTGACAGGTTTTTCAAACAATTTATTTTTTTGAGAACGCACTATAAACTAAAACTGTCGTTTCAGTATCCTAGTTTTTCTTGAAGAAATCCCAAAAATATACAACGAAAATAAACTTTGTATGGATTCGTAAATAATGTAGATTAAATTTGCTTTGCTGTAAGACAGCTGTTAGAAAAATGCATATCTAAAAGTCAGGAGAGACTTTGCAAGGAAGACTTGATAACGAAAAGTTATGTAAGCTTTATTATTGTCTCGTTGTCATGTAAATAAATACTTTACTCTAAAGACTACATTTCTTAAAAAATTTCGCATCATCGTTTCCTAAACCATAAAAAATAGATGTTATTCAAGACCACGAACTAAAGTTTGTGAATTGTACAAAATAAAGCTTCATAAAAGCTGTCGGAAATTATATTCTTGTATTATCTGATGGTTAGTCTCCTTTCGAAAGGATTAAAAATTTCGACTAAACTGCATAAACTAATCAAGCACAAAGCAAAATATTTAACACTTACCTAGAGAGTGAACAGAGCTGAAGCCCTGAAACAACCACAACGCGACGGCAAAGTACGCGTACGAAAATAGGCTGCCGATTTTCATACCGTTCAGTGTACTTTCAGTGTATAATGAATGACTTAATTAAATTCAAATCGGAAATTCTGTTAGAAAAATCGCTCTTGTAAGCCAAGAGTTCAAGATAACCTAATCAACGATTTTCTTTAAGATTTAAACGTTTTGGGTTTTTTTTTGAGCGTCCCTACGGCACTTCGGAATGTTGGATAAAGTCCGGTTATTGAGTTGCAGCGTCACCGTATACTTTGCTATTATCAGAGCAGTGAAACGTAATTTATGACGTTATAGGACCCATGGCAATGAATAATTATGTGGGCTTCCAAGCAATGAAGATAATAATAGTCAGGACTTCCAGTAGGCCGGTAAACAAAAGCAGTCCCTCAAGTTCTTTCATGCTGAACGATCGAGCGATGCATGTTGGAGTGATGTCTGTTGGAGCGTAATTAGTATACCACAGGCAACCCAAATCTTTTTTCCTTTGACTCCAAAGGTACGTACTCCGAAGGACTATGGAAATAGTATTTTTAGGTGGCTCTCACTGAAGCATAACATTTTTTCAGTGACCCCAAAACTACAAACTTTTACTTTAGTAGAAATTAAATATCATAAATATCCAACACATTTTTTCGTTACAGAAAAAAAGAGGCTGCCCCCACTACCCTCACCATACAAAGTCAGCTATAAACGGTTCGAATCGTCAGTACAGTTCTAAACTCTTTTTTATAGACGGCGTTAAAGTTAAAGTTTCCTTTTTATTGACTTGTTATATTCAACAGTACACAAGCTGGCGAGTCTTTGATGGCCTGCGTGTCGGCCAAACACAAACTGTTGGTTAACCTAAGGCTAGTCTTTGAATGACTAAATACTGATTGGATTTCCTGTGGTGTTTTGATGCTTTCGCAAGATGGCTGAACGTTCTTTGAGGTTCATTGGTAAATTTTTAAGAAGATCCCTATAATGCTTATTTTATTTCTATTCCTTTTTTGCTCATTTTTCAAATGTTTTTTTTTTCATACACGACAAAGATATTGGGGTAAATTTAACTGGTAAGCAAAATTAACTTTCAAATCAATTTTAAACATAAGTTTAAGAATAGGTAGGAACTTTTAAATATTACAAGATTATAAAGAACTGATTAGGTAAACTTCTTCAACTACAGATCCAGTGTTTAGAGGGAAATATCATGGCAAGCAGGCTCACACAGGTTGGATTATCCATTACTGGGTTTTATTCTTACCATTATAATTTTAATGCCAGCTGTTGATGAATAAAGTAAGCTTATATCCAAAGAAATTCAAAACCCTAATTACTATGCTCAACATTGATATGAAAATTTGATGTCAATAGATGACTTCGAAGATGTATTACAAAGAGCATTTAAGGTTGGAATGAAAAAGGTGTGTAGAATGTATAATTTTATGATAACAATTCACAAGTTTGGATTATTTTACCTAAACTTTAATACTGTAACGATAAATCAAAGCGTAGTTCCAGTAATTATCCCCCACAGAGGATTTGTTTTTAAAAATACCCCCCTGAAATTCCAATTTTCTTCCATACAATCTCTGTAATTTTGTTCTTTCTTTGACCCCCACCCCTCAGAAATTCCAAATTCCTCTGGGGGGAGAGGGGAGCAGCATTGTTAATTTCTTGAACTATGCACAATATATGAATTATTTTCATCAATTTTGCAGATGATAATTACAGCAGGGAATTTAAAAGAAAGTAGGAATGCATTGGAATTGGCCAAAACTCATGGCAAGTTACATTTTTAAATGAGACCACAGTTGGAAAAGGGGGTAGATAGCAGAAGTTTTCAACCCCCACCTCCCCCCCCCNCCCCCCCCCACTATTTCAGAATTGAATCTACTTATCAGCCCCAAAGAGATGCTCTGCTGGATAGGGTATTGTTTTTCAGGTTTCCGGCCTTAGACAGGGTATACGATTTCCATGATATTGCCTATGTCCTGGACAGAGTCATCATTCTAGCATATGTTGGTTAACCCTATCTGTCATGGTTTTTTTCCTGCCAACAAACAATTTTAAAGCGCAAGTGCTCATATAAAGTTATCTACAGTGGGTCATTACAGAAAAATTAAAAAAAAATACAAAAATTTACTCCAAGTTAATATAATTCTTTATTATCATACATTCATTATATTTATTATATAGTTAGGATAGTAAATACGCCCTGATTGGTCAAAAACTGTGCTTTATTAGTGAACGGATCACAGTGCTGATGCCTTCCACGCATGCAAAGTGCTGCTAAATCCTGAGACCTTCTTTCTTTTTGCGCAAATATATTCAATACTCAAATGAAATTAGTATATAATATATAATATAAATATAATAAAACTAATAAAACAGCTTTTTTGTGCTCCGTTCAGTAATAAACGCACTTAGGAAACGGTGAAGCACTCAAGAAGTGTAAGAAGCACTGGCCTACGGCTTGTCCTTCTCCATAATTACAATTTTTTCGTGCTTATGTCACTTCCTGCGTGCTTTATTACTGAACTGAGCATGGAAAAAGCTGTTGTATTTGTTAAATACAGTACTAGGTGTCTAATATACTGCTTGTTTTACTGATAGATGTACTATATTGTACAGTTGGATGTCATCCAACACGATGTGGAGAATTTGAAAAAGATGGAACCAACCCTGATGAATACTTGAGTGATTTGATTTCATTTGCAAAAGAGAACAAAGGCAAGGTGGTTGCACTAGGAGAATGTGGCCTAGGTAATTCATAAATGAAAGAAATCATATAATAATACATAAAAATCCATTGCTTTATTTTATAATAATGCTTAAATGTCAAAAAGAATATTTTCCTACTTCTTGCAGATTTTGATCGTCTCCATTTCTGTCCCAAGGAATTACAGCTAAAGTAATGTAGTAATGATTTCTCTGAAATAACCTTTGGGCTGATCTATGTCAATTTGTGGCAAACTCACAGATTGAATTTAGTATACTTATTTTGGGTTTGACTCACAGGGAAGGATCAGGAGGTTTATTGTCTTTGGCTTTCCTGGTTTTTTTAGTTCATAATAAATTTATTGTGAGTGTATGTGAAGGCACAAAACACTTTCCAGCCTCCTTAACCTGTTGTATCTTCTCATATGTTCAATGTTTTTCTTCCAAAACATTGCCTGTTCACCCATTTACATGCTAGAGAGTTTGCCAAAAATATTTTAGTATCCACCATCAGTTTCTCTCTGTAGAGTCTAAGGCAACATGGGTCTAATAGGTCAAATACACTGCTAATGCATCATCTTTCACCACCATGAATCCAATGGTTCAGGTAACTGGTTTGAGCCCTGTGAACCCCACACTTGTAAATTGAAATGTTCAATGTGTTGTTATCTCCCTTGAAACAAGGGCTTTTCGCTGGGTTCTCTGGTATTCCTCCCTCTGTAAAGATTAACATGGGAGTTGAGAGTTGTGTGTATAGATTGATTATTCTTACTAAATGAATGTAGTAAGCAGTGTGTACCCAGATTTATTTATTTATTATTACCAATGACCAAAATTTCATATGTTAAGTATTTTAAAAACACATAACTTGTGCCATCAGGTATTTTGAGAAGCAATTTGATCTGACTGAAGCTATCAAACTTCCAGTCTTCCTTCATTCAAGAAATGCACACCAAGATTTCATAGGTTTGTTCTGCCTACAATATATAATGGAAAATTTACATTATATATTGTAAATTACTTTGCATAACTTTGCGATCACCAACTCGCTCACTGTTATGTATCACCATCTATCAAATCCAATTCCTATGGCGGACGCGCTTTCTCAACATTTGCACCGAAAATGTGGAATTCAATTCCTGAACACATTAAAAGTGCAGAATTTAACAGTATAAACTTYCAAAGCTAAACTTAAGATATTTTTATTTCAAAAACATTATTTTTAGTTAATCATATGTATATCTGGTGTTGCTAGGCGCAATGAGGTTAGAAATATGCGTTGTTAGGCACATTGAGGTTATAAGTGTGGCCTATAAGCACCTATTTATCATATTATTATTATTATTATTATTATTTTCTCTGTTTACATTTAAGATTTCAAAAAAATTCAAATCAATTTTCAAATAAATTACATTTGCACATGATCATGAATATAATGAATCTGAGGTGGCAGGGCCTAAAACAGAATTCTAGATTTCCTTACTAATAGGCCATCTAAGATAAAATTATGATAAATAATTCAAGATATTGAACGACTGATTTTAAAATGTACTGATAATGATCTTATTCTTGTTGTGTTTAGATATTATTAGAAGAAACAGAGACCGATTTGTTGGAGGAGTGGTATGTATTTACACAACATTCCCACATCCAGCATTTCTAGCTATTCCTGTTCCATATAATAATATTACTGCAGACCTTTTCAATTTGTGATCGAATCCTAAAAAAATATCTTTCGTTGAATATTTTTTTGTGACTTTAAATGATTATATCTATCATAATCTCTTGAATTTTGATTCTTTGGAATAAGACGTTTCTAACGCGCATGCGTAGGGTGAGATTCGAGAATTCGATCGCTTCGATAAATTTCTTTAAATTCAAGGGGAAAAAATAATTACAGAGAAAAACTCGAAAATAGAATTCGTTTGCTTGAAATACTTTATAAGTGTCTTTGTTTCTTCGTGTAAAGGGAGGAAGTTGCATCCCACATTGGTTGTTGRCCCTTCGTTTTCCCTATATAAATATGCAAACGACCCTATACATGTCGGAAGCGCACTGGCGTTTGAGGAGTACTATCATCGTATCGTCCCCGTGGGCTGATCTGATRGTAAGCTTCAGAAGGCCTTCTTAGATTTCCATTTCGGGGTCTAGCATTTCCACCGCTTCTCCCGTTGCTTAGCGCACGGTTGAGTTGCATACTAAACGACACCCCATTCGTGTGAGTGTTTCGGTATAATTGTATCCTTACTTTCCTTGTATCACTGGATACATGTTTCGCATTTCGAATGGCGCTTCCACAGGCACTACAAGTTGTAGTATGCCATCGTTTTGAATTTTGAACTTATGTGGTTCGGTAGTTGTGCTGGGTTATGATGAATTTTCAACCTTTCAATGTGTAATTAATCATTTTAGCCCATACTGAAGCTCACCAAAATGAGAGTATTTTCTTGTCTAGTACCGTGTTTTGATCTAACTGTGAGTTGATTACTGAGATGTCTTTGTTTTCGTAACAAGAAAACAAGCTAAGATGGTGTATTTTTCTGACTAATAAAATCCGGCTGAATCGAAAATTGTTTTTTTCATAAAAGGTTATTCATTCGGGTATCTGCGAGGGGTTTTAACGACATCTTGCTTTTACACAGGCACACTGCTTCACCGGCAGCAAAGAAGAAGCCATCGATTACATGGATCAAGGACTTTTTATCGGAATTACTGGATGGTAATGTTCTGGACATTGCTACTTTATATACGCAAAATACGCGATTTTAGTACTAACATTATCTTTCCCTCAAGTTCTCTAAAAACGGCAGAAAATATTGAAGTTATGAAGACTATTCCTTCAGAAAGAATCATAATCGAAACAGGTATAAATCTTGTGCTTTTTTGTTTGGCTACTGTACCGTGACCCAAATATGTTAATTCATATCGCGTTACTGTCGTCACGCTTTCAGATGCACCGTGGTGTGACATACGACCAACACATGCTGGATTCAAACACATTCAAACAAAATTTGAGACGAAAAAGAAAGAGCGTTTTGAAAAGGGGTTTTGTGTTAAAGGTCGAAATGAGCCAGCTAATATTATGTGAGTATATTCTATTTGAAATTTTTTTTTCTCCTCCTAACAGTCGTAATAATTTAGATTTTGTTGTCAAAAATACAGCTTTTTCTTTTTTTCTATATAACTATTTAGATTATTAGGAGAGTTTTAGTTTGTAGTTTATAGGTCAATTTTTAAAATATGGATAGATGAGGCCTTAGATGAAACGACTGAAGAAGAGTGCCATCCCGGGGGGGGGAGTGCCATACAAGCCTTTCACGACTTCAAGTCGCGTAAAAAATGAGCCAGCTCAACTAGAAACCGTGGGCAGCTGTTCGACCTCGTCGGCACGCTGTATCTAGTGAGCTGGCAATCCCATGAAAAAGTAGTACTAGATATATGAGGCAATAACCCGTGGGCTTACAGCTATTTTCAAAAATGTTTGTGAATTTGTTATGCCGAACGTTGCATACCAAGCTCAAAATGCACTATGGGTGACATGAATCAAATCAGAGCAAGGTCACAACCATATGGAATATTACCAAACTTCATGGCACATTTTTCTGGTATATTTTCTTCAGTGCTGACATTATTTACATATGAAATCAATATAATTCATGTCAATACGAGCTTGGTATATCCAGTGCATGCAACATGCATAAAACCTCCACCAACAATTTTTAAAATAGCTGTGTATTTTGGAGGGCTTATTATAGAAAGGGGTTTTGCAATTCAAATTTAGTGGGCTTATTTTTGGAAAGGCTCAAATGTTGGCTTACAGTATAAAAAACATATGGACGTTTATCATACAACTACCATGTTTATTCTCATCAGAATAAAAACTCTTGTTTAACAACCGTAAATGTATTTTGAAGCACTGGTGGAATCTATCGTTAAACCAACATGGATACCTAGTGAAAAAGGTTAATTCACTAATGGGTAGAGCTTTTAATTTCTTTTCCTTTTGTCATATTTTCTTATTGTAGACAAGTCTTAGAAGTAGTCGCTGGAAGTCGTGGAGAGGACCCTCAACAATTAGCTGAAACAATTTACGAAAACACAGAGAGGTTGTTTTTCAGCTAAGCAAAATAATGTCAGAAAAAACTTTTTCTGTCTCCTTTAATTATTACTAATATCAACTGCTGTAATGACTCAGGCCCCATTAAAATATCCCCCACGTGCACACAACCACACAAAACGTTTGTGTTTTTTTTACAACCAAGATTTGAATACAAAATGTGGAAGGCGCAAAATTTGTTGAACTAGCTCCAGAAAAATCCTAGAACAACCCCTGCAAAATATGTATCGGCCTGCTCGATCGTAATTATAAAAACAACAAAAATACATGTACGACATCTAGCAAATATTTTTATTTAAAAATAATCTTTCATAAAAATTAAAAATATATAGCTTGTTAAAGACTAAATTAAGCCATCATTATATTTTTTAAAGTTTATCAAAATATTTAGAAATGAAATCATTTCTAGTATACAAACTTATTCTTAGCATATATTAGGTGTGTATATTATCCCATAGCTCTCACATTATAGGAGAAATTAAAAAATACAGAAGGTCAACTGAAGTTCGAAAAACGTAATAAAAAAATAATTGCCGTAAATCGTATTACTTCTTGAACTTGGATTTTTTCTATTACTTTAGAAGCTTACAAAGTGCTGTATGTCAAACAATTTTCATATTGCTTACTATCAATCACGTGACTTTTTTGGAGTTGACTGGGGGCTAACAAGCGGTTGACTGGGGGGCAACTAGCGGATGCTAAGTCAAAACACATCAAAATAAGTCCTCGAACTATTGTATTTGACTATTTTCACGACATCAAACCAGAAAACAAGAGATCAAAACAACCTCCAGGATTCTACAAGTCATCAAAAAAGAGCTATTACCGGAAGTGACGTCTATTGATAGCAACCTATTCAAGCACTGTAGTTGGGCAAAAGTGCGCATTTTCTCGATTTTTGATTGGTTCATAGTTGGGCAAAGTTTAAGTCATTTGTTATCGCCGTTGGTCATCATTCTCTCTCGCGTTAACTTGGTAATTGTCCTGACGGGCCTTTAGCATTGAGCGTCGACAGCAGAAATATAAAACAACCATTATCACTAAAAATATCAGGGAACCTGCCATAAGAACTACCCAGACTCCATCCACTGTAAGAGACAAAAAAAACAAGGTTTATTGGAAATATTTCAAATGTCAGTTCAATTACAAATCACTTTATTCCTATCTTTTGCGTAAGTACAAATGCTAATATCAATAAAAGAAAATATGACAAATTAAACTGGGATTCCCGCATTTATCAGTTTTAATGAATTTTAATTTGTAAATCYATAAACGTTTCAAAATATTCTATGCACAGCTGAGATTGTCTGGTTTCTTTCTGTGTGCACTTTTTTGCATTTCTTGCGAAAATTGAAAACTAAAATGTTTTTAAGATTAAATATTCTTTTATTCGTTCATTTTTTTTTTAGAGTGAAACTTCTGGCCTAGTTCTCATGCTTCTCAAACCAGTCTTTCGCACTCATTTTCGAGATAGGAATACAAGCTTTGATAGGATCCAATCGCTAATTTAGACTTATAAATAAAGGTTTACCTGCACATTGCTTGTACATGGGTAGAAGGGAATCGCAGTACGCTTGAAACTCTGCGCTGCCATGGCCTTTTAAAAATGTTTGAACTTTTGCATCATCAAGCATGAATAATCCACCTAAACCAGATTGGAATGAAAATATCGTTTATTAGGTAAATCAAAGATTATACTTATTCATTTGTCTCACGATTGTGGCAGTTGTGACGACCGCGACGTTTCGACTGCTATAGCTACTGCTATAGTCTTCATGAGGCGATTACGTAAACTGCCACAATCGTTTCATTCTATTGCTTATCGTAGTCAAGCTTCTGAAATCATTTATTCAACAAATTTGAGGGGGGAAGCATCAATAATTCACCTACACGAAGGAAAGGACGAGCACCGTCGGTATCAGATTGGGCGGCAATTTCTTAGTTAAGTTTGATCCATTTTTAAAAGTAAGTTGAGAAAAAATATTCGAAATATGAAGAGAAGAAAACATTGGAAATTTATTTAATACAATATCCAGTAGTTCTTACCTTGCCAACAAAATCCTTTTGTCGTGCTTAGATAAGACCTGCATATAACAGATAGAAGATAAAATAGAGTGTACCACAACTGGCAGGACTTCTGGAGACGCAGTCGTTGCCAAAAGTAGAAACGAATTCTACTTTCCGCAACGATTACTGCAACTTGTCTCTCAACATTTTTTTCAAATTGCGCTGTAGATTACATGCTGCAATGCTCCATGCAACTTATGCAACGCCGTTGCGAGACAAGTTGATGAGAAAATTGCTCCGTCTAATCGAGCCTTAACACAAAACACACTGGTGGTTACCTCACTCCGTTGATCCAAACCACGACTTTGCCGTTTGGACACCAGACTCCTCCTTCTTTTATACACGGGTCACATGACATTGCGCACGACTCGCGAGGCATGTCGGTAGCTTTACAGTATTTATGAAGACGACCTGTATAAGGAACGATAGGTAAGAGTGAGGCTGGGGCGTTTACGTGGTACTGGACGAATTTTTAAAGGGTCGATTTTTTAACCCATTACCTCCCCCCCCCCCCCATGGTTCAAGTTCAAGAAGGCATACCGTCAGTTATAATTTATGTACTGCATGTATGCGTACCTACCTGTAACAGTGTTATTAACTCGCATTGGATTGCCTGAAAACAAAATGCATGGAGATCGATAAGATAAATTGGATAAATTGCGAAGGCACTGTAGATTATAGAGCGATTTAACTAAATATGACTGGAAAATTCTTCATCGTATTGTGGGTCTGCCGTATCTTACCATGCCCATAACTACGCGTTGTGATTGGATGCGGTGGGGGGTGAGGATGGGGATGCAGAAAGCCATTTCAATGTTACGGAATGTAAGTGCTGTAAGCTAGTACCGTATATGATACGAAGGAACACCAAGTCTTCTATATACACTAATCCACAATTCAAAAAAAAAAAGAGTTTATAACTCTAGTATTATTTAGTGTTTTCCGCATAAAAAATAAGCCCAAGATAAAGGCGTTGCGCTATAGGAGCAAAGACATAAGTTGAACGTGTCCAAAGCCCGCTCCAACCACTACCCTCGCCTCGTTTCAAAGATGTATATTATCAATCATGACAGAACGTGCGCATGCGCAACATAACCCTGACCTGATGCAGTCAGTGCAATCATAGATCAAGAAGAAACCAGTCTTTATGCTGATTGGTTGGTCTCTACTCTACTCACCACAAGGCCCTTCTTCAGGGTGAGTCAAATTACTCGGTGCAAATCCTATTCGCTGATTGGCGCGGTCAAATATGACTACATTTCCTTCCATGGAGACTTCACCCAGCACTGCCCCTGAAGGCTTCAAACCGATGCTCAGACAATGGAAATCACTGGGGATTCAAAAAAAAAAAAAAAGGATCTATAAATTTTTTTTTTTTAAACAGATTTGTGAACGGTTAATGTTTCACATTAATATGTAAAAGCGGTTTTTTCGTATGAGTGGTTAGATCGATACGATACGTAGCCTTACTGTGATAGCCGTACTGTACTTTACCGTAACCGTAACTACCCATTGTGATTGAATAAGTTACTGGAAGACAATGGGAGGCCATTATGTCGTACCGTGTATGTTACCCATGCACTTCATACGAACACCGCTCTAGTCACTTACTCTTGCTTTCTTACGTAGTGTTTGCCAAGAATCGTAAGACCAAAAGAGCCTCCTCCTACAAGAAAATTCTTGATTACTTTAGTGTTTATTAAAAAAGCATTTTGTCGTTTGCAGTTTATCTAAACCTGCCCAAACTCGGGTTGTAACAGCGTTCTATAAAATCTAAAGGCAAGAGAGAATGATTTTTTTTCATTTCCTCTTGCTAAAAGTCTTTTAGATTGGAGAAAAWTTTTAATGTTTTTAACTGTTAAATGTTTTTATGTTTGCGTGTACATGTCAAACTTACGCATGTCTGTTAAGTAGATAGTTATATAAGGCCACTGATAAGGGTCCGTGTCCACGCAGTAGCTTTTCCAGAACCTCTCGTCGACAGGAGGGCCTCTCTGTAAATATTAATATAACCAAGATTATCATCAAAACTTTCGCCAGTATTTGCAACAATGTATATAGCTAACAAACCTGTGGCCCTCGTTCTATGATCAAATTTGATTTAAAGAACGAAAAATTTATAGAACGAAAAAGTGATTTTTGAGGAGGGAGGAAAACCAGAGAACCCGGAGAGAAACGCTCGAAGCACAGGAGAGAACCAACTGGGAACTCTACTCACATACAACACCGAGAGGCGAGCGCTCTAGCTCACCGCTACGCCACCCGTGCTTCTCGAGAATTTGATTAATCATGTAATGTTTGATTGCTGGGGTTTTACCAAACAAAGGAATTAATGTCACATGTTGCGGAAGTATATCTAGATTCTACGAGTACACCGTGTCTCTGGGCCCAAAAGATAACTTCATGATGCGTACACTAGATATCCCTTGTAACAGAATTTGTTGCATACGCTCTCTAGCTCCCCCTCCTGCCTCACAGCCAATGAACCAGCCACCTCTTCTGCTACGACGTTACCTTTTTTAGCTCGTTAATGACAGCAGCATACACTATTGGTGGTAGCAAAATATCTGTTGTTCCTGAATAAATAATTAAGACAATAATTGATGCTGTATACTAAAACGACCCTCTGCTATATTGGTTAACACTAACAACATCATATCTTACCACTATCTACGATAGCGTCAGGAAAGAAACGAGACGACAGGCCAACACTGTTGCCAGCAACATCCTGCAAGTATAAGACGTTACCCAGTTTGCCACTTTTTTTCGTTTTTTTTTTTGTTTTTTGTTTGTTTGTTTGTTTTGTTTTGTTTTTTGTTGTTGTTGTTTTTTTTTGTTTTTGTTTTTGTTTTTTTTCGCGCTGATCGAGACAAAGCCTCACGATAGGTGAGAGACATAAACAATCAGACCCGCAGCCCGAATGCCGTCTGATTTTTTCATTGTAAACCTACTAATCGAACAAATAAATAATCTTAAAAAATTAAATTAGTTTGATATAATCAATTTTTTTGCGGTTGTTTTGTTTTTCTAAACTGGTCTTTTATCGCTACTAGTGGTCTAAAGCTACGGACACACAGTGCATGCAACATTGCGCATGCAATTGGTTTTGCGACGCAATTTTTTGCACGCAACGTTGCTGTAGTAGAAAACTATCTTACATCAGCAACATTGCCTGCAATATCGCACGCAATGTTGCACCGTGTTTCCGTGCCTTAAGGCCTATGGAAGATAGTCTCATTTGCAGCTCAGTGTTCTCAGTGTCAGTCCAAAACTCCCCATACAAAAACCGTCTACTGAGGGACTAAAGGATAGGAAGGTCCCTTTTTCTTTTACAGAATTAATTTTCAGACTTACTATTCCCGTCATTGTAACACTATACCACGTTTCTTGGTTTATTTCTGTGAAGTGAATAGGTCCATCAAAAGTTTCTTGTTCAGGCCAATCAAGCCATATCTGACCCTGTAGGTGATATTAAAAAGAAAGAAGTTGAAGTACATAGTAAAACAATCAACCAACTCTCCTCCCTCGCATCGGATTCACGCCACTCGTGTTGACTTAAAACGTGTATCCCAACGCACACAGGTTACATACACACGTGCGAACTCGAACTCGGTAATTATTTAGAGAAAATAGCTAGCAATCAGGCCTGCGTACATATCTGGGGGCCCAAATGTTGCATAATGTCATTTTATAAGTGTGTGACTGATTATAGAAAAATTGGGGGGGCGGGGGAGGGGGCAGCCTCTCTCCTTGCTACTCGCCTTGCAATAAAGGGCATATTCTTACCATTCCATTACAAAGACCCAGTGTAAATACATTCGGTACTTTACCATCCTGGACGAGCTGATCGAATAGAGGCTATGAAAGATAAATGCAATCATCAAGGTAGGTCGATAAAAAAGGCCAGAAAACACAATTAAATATTCAGAATAATATACGATATCATGCAGCTTTTGTCAGTAAGACGTTTTTCTCAAAGTCCTCAACAAACTCAGCGGTCATTCGCCACCAATGAGTATCTCCCATGTATAGGGTGTAGCACAAGGAAAAGTCTTCAAACCACGCAAATATTTTGCCTGAGGAATCTTATTTCTTTTATGCACGTTTACGGCGCGCGTCTTTCTAGCGGGGCTATTACCTCAACTCCATTTGTGGCAAGACTTCTGTAAGCAAGACCCAAAATACCTTCGTTGATAGAGTTTTCTGAACACAAAAATGCATATATAAAGTTTACCAAACAAGTTTAAGGGGAGAAATTATGAGATTTTTGTTAAAAATTTTAAAAAGTTTTTACAAACTCAAAAAGAAGTCTTTCTCGTTTCGAATGACTGCGAATTCTGCAACCGTTTTGGGACCTGCGAAAAAAAAAAAGTAATGAAAAATTAATTATGCCGTACATCCACAGATTTGTTTTATATGTTGCTATCAATATATACGTCACTTCTGGTAATAGAGTGCACGCACCAAAACCGTGAACATTAAATAGTACTAATTAGTACTATTTCATGCAGAATCCTTTGTTTTCTATTGTTTAATTATCACTACTTAGTGCTAAAAATTAGTATTTGTTTCACGGATTTAGTGTGAGCACTCTAGCTGTGTTTTTAATGGCTTGTAGAATCTTGGAGGTTGTTTTGGTATCTTGTTTTCTGGTTTCCCATGTCGTAGAAATAGTCAAATACAATAGTTTGAGGACTTATTTTGACATGTTTTGAGTTAACATCCGCTAGTTGCCCCTTAGTCAACCACTCGTTTGCAAACTCCAAAAAGTCACGTGATTGATAGTTAGCAATAGAGCGTCATTTTACTCATTTTCATAACTACTCGACAAAGACAAGCGATATTTCGAGTCGTCTGGGTTTTTGTCTTTCGTCAATCAAATTTACAAGCCTTACAACGGTCTGAATTAGCAATTTTTAAAACCTGGCCAGACGTCTTGGGCTACGTAATTAAAACGGACTTAAATTATATGGGRGAATAGAATTCAACATGTAATCTGCATCAGTCTTACCATCACCAGGAAATCCCACTATGTCTCTATATATGTTGCCTGACCACGCTCCCTTGCCATACTGGGTCTCGATCTAAAAACAAAACCTTTTGTTTTATTTCCAGCTTTCTTTATGGACTGGTTCTACTCTCTACAGTGTACCTTTATACTGTAGTATGCAAAAGCTATCGTTTTATGGGTTTTATTTTGTTTTTGTTTTTGTTTTTGTTTTTGTTTTTCAATACACCTCTTTAGCTTGGGCGTAACGTTTTCTCATTTCAGACCTTTATCACGCGGCAGCCATGTTGGTTCGCGTGGCCTCGCATTCAAACGTTTGAGAATGAGATTACGCATGGTTAAACAAAGATTTTTATTCTCCCGAGAATAAACGTGGCACCGTGTGATAAAGRCTTATTTCTTATAGGTTTGGCCTTTCCGAGGCTGCACAGAAAACTGGTAACGAGTAGGACGCGCGTTGAATCGTAAACTGTATTAGGGTTTACGTTTACTTGTATCTTCAAACATAGTAAATTCTACTCTGCTTCAAGGAAGTTAAGACACATAGATATAAGACTAAGTATGGATATGTTCAAAATGATAAGGCACGGGTCACTTTAATAGTTAAACTAGACGAGCACCGAGACGTCCCTAATATTCGTCGAAAATGAAAAAGTCCTACTCGTTATCAGTTTTCGCGTAATCTCGGAAAGGCCAATAAGGTTCTTTGTTTTAGTTACATTCATATATATTTTTGTGCTTTCTCGTGCGCAAACTATGAACAAAGAAATTATACTCTAGGGAATGACGACTGCTCTGAAATGGGAATACATTCCACCTTGCATGCTGGGCCAATCACGGCGCGCGTTATATTTTCCAAGGACCAGCATGCTTTTCGCAGGTCTGTACAAGCAGTTCTCTTGCGAAGTCTCTGTCAAGCGGCATGTCGGATAAAAACATTTACTGGACGAACAGACCGTTACAGCAGTCCAGGCGGTATTTATTCCACAGTCTGGCCAGCCGACTCAGTTGCCCGCAGGTAATTTGTCTCAAGTTTTGGTCTACATTTGTTTTTCCAAGTGTAAATAACGCCCAGAAATAATCGTTTGAAATTGTCGTCCTGCTCCCGGCCGGGCCTTCTACTTGCATGCATTCCCTTTCGCGCCTCTTTCGGCTTTTCTTGTTCTCGATGCTGCTTCGCTGTATCTATATTCCTCTTCTTTCGAGTTTTCTTGGTTACCATGTGTTTCTTATCTTTCCTAACTTTTTTTTCCCTTTTGCTTGTTATTTGCATGGCGTCCTATGCATGCTGCATTCGTTCCATTCTTTCGTTGTTCGTAAATTTTTAAAGTTGCACCTCATTCTATTCACAGTTTCTATTGTTTGGTGTCGAAAGACTGCGTTTTTTTACTTTGCATGTTTTATCCTTCTTATTCTRTGTTTGTCATAAGTCYCATTTTAGAAACCGTGTAGCATAGKTTTAAGTAGAGGACTTATTTKGGGGGTTYGGGAGAATGCCTCCGCCCTCCTGAAAATTTTGAAATTGAGGCTCCGTGATATGCGATTTCAAGTTCTGCGGCTTTGAGGGGCAATTGCCATATATTTATTGACGACTCCTAATACTCCAGTGTATGGCATCAAATCCAGGCCTGTTTTCTCATTCTAATTCCTGTGTGAGGATAAGCCTGCATATACTGTAGTTTTAAGAGTTGTCAACTGTATTGAAGACATGTTAAGGCTTTAGTAGTCTCATATACAAGAAAATCAGTATTGTTCAAAGCCCCTGCACTGAGGCCTGTGCAAGCATGTCAATAGTTTGTTCTACCCCATCTGAGTAGGCAACAGTTGTTTCTAAATTTAGGCTTTAGTYTTGCAAGAAAGTCATTGTTGGAGTGATTTTAACTTGCTCCTTAACGGAATAGCAAGCACTATACACGGTAGTAGACTCTAATTCCATTGTTTTCTCTTGTTTTACTTTAMAGTTTTAGTCACTAATTTTACAACTTTCTTTCAAGGTGAAAGTAAAATCACTATGTGTGTTTTCTGTTCAGACATTAATCTGAGTAGGAAAAATGTAATGGAATAATTGCTGAGTAGGCAAAAATTATTGTGCATTTGAATCAAGGCCTACCTGAGTAGGCAA